GTTTCTTAATAGTAAAGTTGCTTAGCTACTTTTTTGAGCAGAATTTCTTTACAGGTTCGAGAGCTTCTGCCAAGCGGTGCTGTAGCATTTGGTATTTATTATGACAATCCAAGGGTGAGTCAAACACATTTGCATTTTACCAGTGGAAAATGGAAGTGAAATACTATTTTGAAAGCAAAAGGATTGCTTTTTGAAATCTTCGTTTCTTTTTCAGGACCGTGATGAACATCTGCTCCAGTCGGCTGTCGGTGTCATCTTTGGAGGTAATTATAATTTTGAACATTTTACCGTTTTAGTCAACTACTTCCAACATTTTACCGTTTTAGTCAACTACTTCCAGTAGTTGCAGTAATCTACCTTTTCAAATTGATGGATGCTAAAATGACATGTCATGTAGTTTTGATGTTTAGAAGACGACAAGTCGCTTTACACTGATAATTACGCTCAACAGTTAACACGATGGGGCTATGAGAAAATGGTCTTGCCTAAGGTATGCAGGCTTTCTTCCCTTGTGCAAGTAGTGATGCCTATCCACAATTATTGCTTTAAAAGTTTAAATATGAGATTTGTAAAAACTTTATCTAGTTAATTAACATGCTGATCAAAAAAAAAAAATCCCCAGGCCAGATGCTAGGTAGAAACACAGGGTTTAAGATCCAGGACGATTGACGCCCTTTCCACGATTACCGCACTCGTATTGCACTAAATATCTTGTAAAGTTGTGCTAAGTATGTGGCGAAATTATTCCTCAATAAAAAGAGAAGCAACTGTAGTTGTGACTGTTGGTGTTGTGGGAGTCGCGTAGGGAGTACGAGTCAGAGACCTTATTCTTTCTTCCCACTCCCTATTTATTGAATTTAAGCGGTTCTCTGGTTCTGTTCAAGTGCTTTCCAATTTAACCCCATATAAGGCTTTACCTTGAGAAATGCATTCAAGTTCGTAACCAACAGTTTTCTTGTTTGTTTACATACCATAACCCTATGGTTCTCCTCCACTGTGAGGAATGGATATGATGATATTATCATTGCTTTCATGAAAAGTTTGTGCGCGCTTTTGTGAAGTTTGATTTTTCTGCATTTTGAAATAAACTTGTGAGAAATGTTAGTTGTCAACTTATCTGAATCTTAAGATCGAGCGCGCTGTCGAAGTGACTCAGCCATACACAGGATCTCTTTCTATTTTCGCCTTAATCTATCGAACGTACGGGATCATTAGGCAGTTCATTGAGGTTGGTTCTTTTTGTTTTAGATGCATACCTGGCGCATAACTTTTATTCTGTAATTTTTTTGTCATTTTGATTACCAGATTGGCTTTTAGGATAAGCGTTTGGAAACTGCGCTAGCCATAGAGTTCTACAGCACTGATGAGATTTGTGTCTCATTCCCACTTGATCATGTTAAAGAATTTATTGTTCCAGAGGTATAAACTTTGCTTTTGTTGACGCATGATTGTCTTTATGGTTTGTCTCATCTTCCACCAAAATCTATATATTTTAGCATTTATCGTTGGAAGCGTTGGAGGCTAAACTTGCCAGAAAGAAGTTTGATTCCGACGAGGAGTCAAGCGAAAGTGAAGCAGAGCACGCATCTGAAGTAGAAATCCCTGAAGAAGGTGAAATTGACATGGCTGCTGGTGGTGATAAGAAGGATAACTAGAAAATGATTACGTATTTTATTTCAAATTTTAAGCCTATTTAAGGATTTGCTACACTTTTCAAGATTAGAGTAATCTCGTGTGCCTTGTCTGTTTCTTGTTTTTCTCGCACATATCCACTTTTTGTTAAAATTTTCGTACGGTTGGTAATGAAGTTTTCTTAAGAAATGTTGGAATGGATTTTGACTTTTTATGGCGAAAAAAGTCATGGAGACCTATTTAGTGGAATAGACTTTCTTCTAATCTCTCATACACTTTTATCAAATTATCAATCTAATTCGCTATCAAATTACTTCATTTTTTAGGCTTCATTCTAGGTTCTTCAAAGTATCTTTTCAAGAAAAGACCATTATTAATTTAAAAAGAGAAAAAACTAGTTTTTCGTTGACGTCGGAGCATACAAGCATCAGTACTTTGCGGTGTTGCGCCTATCAACCAGAGAGTGAGTTTTCGGATTTAAAGTTCTACAGAAACAAACACTTTGGTTTACAAAAAAA